GGTCTGTATTAATTCCTGTCATACAGATGTAGATACCACAGCTACCACCAAGGGGTGGGTGTGTATTAATTGCTGTCATACAGATGTAGATACCACAGCTACCACCAAGGATTGGGTGTGTATTAATTGCTGTCATGCAGATGTAGATACCACAGCTACCACCAAGGGGTGTGTGTGTATTAATTCCTGTCATATAGATGTAGATACCACAGCTACCACCAAGGGGTGGGTGTGTATTAATTCCTGTCATACAAAAGTAGATACCACAGCTACCACCGAGGGGTGGGTGTGTATTAATTCCTATCATATAGAAGTAGATATCACAGCTATGATCAAGCAGTGGGTGGGTACTAACTATAATGAAGGGGGGGTATTATATCCTGTCATGCAGGATTTTGGTTACTCCTAACTTTTGGGAGTCCTCTTCAGATGAGGGAAAGATTCCGTGACGTTCTTCAGACATGGGGTTAGAAACTCATACCATTAACCCCAAAATTTCCGAAACCATTCATTGCCGATTAATTAGCTTTAATTTCTACAGCTTATGGAACATCGCTCTGCAGAAAACTTGGAAAAAATCATATTATATAGCCAATAACATTAATTTATTTTAATTTTTACAGGTTACGGAAACATCGCTCCTAAGACCAACTGGGGAAAGCTTGTGACTATCGTGTACGCAATTATCGGTATTCCTTTGATGTTTCTTTACCTCACCAACATCGGAGATCTTCTAGCCAAGTCTTTCAAGTACATCTATGGACGACTTTGCCGATGCAAACCAAATGACGAGAAACGTCGACGTCGACATCGCGAGCACTACCGAGTTCACCATATTGTTCTCCACGACACGACATCAAATATTAACAATTTTATAGACCCTAATTTTCCCAGTAAATTTGGTAGACCTCGACTAGACGAAACCAAGATGGAAACCTTACCAGAGGAAATCTCAGAAGAAGAGGATTATGGGAAACAAAGAATCGTCGTTCCAATTACTTTGTGCTTAGTACTAATTACAGGATACATCTGTGGGGGCGCTTTTCTGTTTTCGATCTCGGAAGGCTGGAATTATTTAGATGGCGCTTACTTCTGCTTCGTCACGCTGAGTACTGTTGGGTTTGGTGATACTGTCGTTTCAAATGCTGAAAGTTCACAACACAAACTGGTTATTTGCTCACTCTACCTGCTTGGTGGTATGGCTTTAATCGCCATGTGCTTTAACCTTGTGCAGGATGAAGTCCTTTACAAGTTACGGAGTGTGGGAATGAGATTAGGGATAATACAGGAACAGGAAGATATACAGGAATGAAGCTAGAGACGAGGCTGATGATAATACAGGACTGAAAGACATACAGGAATAGAATTAAAGATTATGCACATTGGGTGGATTCATACAAACTGTTCTAGGAAAGAGATTAGAGGTTAAAGAAGGCTAGAGTGGACACACAAGAACTGGCTTGGGAAGAGGTTAGAAGATATAGAAAGCTCGAGTGTACGGACAACAATTGACCTGGGAAGAAATAACAGATTATACGAAGCTCGAGTGAACGCACACAGTAATTGGCCTAGAAAGAGATTACAGGTTATACAATGCTTGAATATACGGATAAGAATTGAAATGGGAAGATATTATAGATTAAACAAGGCCAGAGTGGACACACAAGAACTGGCTTGGGAAGAGGTTAGAAGATATAGAAAGATCGAGTGAACGCACACAGTAATTGGCCTAGAAAGAGATTACAGGTTATACAATGCTTGAGTATACGGATAAGAATTGAAATGGGAAGATATTATAGGTTAAACAAGGCCAGAGTGGACACACAAGAACTGGCTTGGGAAGAGGTTAGAAGAAATAGAAAGAACGAGTGTACGGACAAGTATTGGTTTGCGAAAATATCAGGGGTTTACACAAAGTTCGAGAAACACAAAAAATTAGTCTGAAAAGTAATTAATGATTGGGCAATAAGGCATAAGAGTGTGAGTAGGAAACTAGAAACAGTGCTTCATTAATTTCTCCCAAAGATAATTAGAATTACTGGCTACAAACCTTTGTAAGTGTTGAGCTCCAGTTTGCGTCTCGGGAGATCATATGTACTTCTTGTTCATTATCAACAATTTAATTCTTTATCAAAGAGTAAGAAAGAGCTTGACCATCTTTTAGCTAAAACGCGTATCACGTTTTTAAGGTTATATACAGTGACATTATTTCATTATATAAATTAGGCCTACCGCATTTCCAATAATAATGATTTCATGGGAATTACAAATGTTGTATATATAGAAAAGTTCCCTACCATATACGTCTGTCTCGCAACAAAAGTAGATGTAAAACATATAAAGAAAAGTTCCCTACCATATACGTCTGTCTCGCAACAAAAGTAGATGTAAAACATATAAAGAAAAGTTCCCTACCATATACGTCTGTCTCGCAACAAAAGTAGATGTAAAACATATAAAGAAAAGTTCCCTACCATATACGTCTGTCTCGCAACAAAAGTAGATGTAAAACATATAAAGAAAAGTTCCCTACCATATACGTCTGTCTCGCAACAAAAGTAGATGTAAAACTTTAAAACGAACAAATTGGAGCTCGACTTCTTCCAGATTTAAAAGTTCTTCACATTTAGAATATCCGTTTGTCTTACAAAGTGCGTCTGTCTCGAAGCTTCCTTTACAACTAATAATGG